GGGCCCATGGTGCTCCGCCCCCCCCCCCTAAAAACTGTAAATTGGGTTAAATATTATCCTTGTATATGAATTTTTAAAGTAGCTCAACCTAAGACGTTTATGGATGTAAAGCACCAGATGGCGGGGCGTATTTCACAGTCTTTTACTACAGAAAAATATTTTTTGTTACTCTGAATTTTGAAGCGACCAATAAAAACAGAGAAAATAAAAATCGATAATTTTCGGACTGTGCCAATTGGTTACTAATCGACCAGATACTTTTATCTATTAGATATGCTATAAAAGCTGGTAATTATACAATTCGACCATTGTAAATACCCGACAAATTCCGCAAGGCCGACGAGGCCGATGCTTTTCACTGATAAGAAAAAAAATGTTTGTTTAGATAATTTTCGAGATATTTTTTCTTTCTGAATGCACATTTTTAAAGTATTTTATATTCTTTGTCCGCTTGATCTATTATACTGGTCGCACGTATCGAGTATCGAAGTTCTGTTTCTTCTAGTTTTAAAAAATGTTCTTATTTCTTTATAGTTGTAGTGTAAAATTAGATTAATTTTATTAAGTTTAATTATAATGTTTAGTGTAGAATACCAGAAATAGTTTAGTAGTGTTTTTATAGTTTATTTATTTTGTAGTTAAGTATTTTTTCTTTTTGTTTGATTAATTAGTAAGTTTATAATTTTTTCAGTGTAAAATACAAGTAGTAGTTGTGTAGTGTTTTTATAAGAGATTATATTTGTTTATTTTGTAGATGAGTAGTAGGTGAAGGTATTTGAGTATTTTTTCGTTTTGTTTTTCTTCTAATTGTAGTAATTCTATTAAGTATTGTGATAGATACGCTATATATATTCCTTCAACTTCGTTGAAAAGTGCGTTATCACATAATTTTGGTTTTCTGGTAGTAGAATATACGAAAAAAAAATCTGATCAAATTTATTTTAAATTAAATTAATCGAGTCTTATTAATAAAATTAATCTAAAGTTTCTAAATACTATACAGGATGAGTTTCCTACGATGTTCTTTATGGGTATCTCGGAAACTACTGGAGATAGAGAGTCGGTTAAATGGGGAAAGAATTGCAGTTTTGTGGGGTCATAAATATGCGCCTTTCGGATTTTTCGGAGAAGTTCAAGGCTTACTAGATATTTCGAAAAAAACAAATTTTGGCTATTTTAAAACTTGTCTCTAATTCCATTATAATCTACCGTATGATCGAATAAAAAAGGCGTCAACGATGGCTATGAAATGAAGATCGTTGTCATTTTATATGTAAATTATATGGGAAATATCATAGATCGTCATTTCATAGCCATCGCTGACGCCGTTTTTATTCGATCATACGGTATTTTAGACAAAAAGTTTTCAGATAAAAGTTGTAGATAATCACATACCTAATGAGTTTGTGTTTTCTGTTTTTTTTCTAAAGCCTGTCATTTTTGACATATGACACAAACATTATGTTTTTTTTAATGGAAATCCTAGTTGGCAATGACTTCATAAAAACCGCCATTCTTTAAGCTATTCAGCGATATAGGTATAATATGTTTTTTTTTCCGAAAAATTACAAGTTATAGCCAATTCTTTTCTTTCTTGGATAATTCCCATACCAATAATACCATGCCAATAAGTTGGCATAAAAAATGTAAAAAGTTTTATGTTTTCAAAAAAAAATATCGTAAAATTCGTAAAGCACTCAATTTAGAATCAAATAATCTAAGAATGAAATGATTCTTTTATAAACCTGCATTAAATCAAATTAAAATAGGTATGTAACTTTTTTTTTAAATATTAACAGCAATTAGCATTATCATAAATTATAAATAATGTACCAACATATCGAAATAATAATTTCTTTGTTAATACGATTTAGAATTCTTAAAATAACAGGCAAAAATAATCCACAATTTACAATAAAATAAAAGTTTCGTTTAAATTTCTTAATCAGCTGATCATTATTAAAGTTTGCAGAAACCCGGGGCTATATTATTACATTACTCTGAGGAAAATAACGAAAATAATCGATATTTTTGACTCCGCCCCGAAAGGTTCACGATTTGTCCTCCAGTTAGCAGCACATTTTGTCTAGTCGGTTGAACAACTTTAAGAATATATAAACAAGGATATTATGCTTTTGGGTTAAAAATGGTTCCCTGAAAAGCAAATTCTATATTACTTTTGATTTGGCTCCACTCCTAAAATAAATACCTGTATACGCCCCTGTCGAGGTATTTAGAATCAAAATAATCAATACATGTCATCATTAACAAGAATTGAACGTGTTAAACTAGGTATAGATCATACCAATTACACTTTTAGTCCCGTGACTACGCTTGACCGACGTTGCCGACTTTTACGTATTTTCTTTTAAACAAAATATTTTAGGAAAAAAATGAATTAATTATAAATATATAAAGAGTTATTATTTACATCAACAAAATTCACCTCCTTAACAACTTAAAGGACATAAAGCGCCATTATTAGCGCTTTCCCGTTCAAACTATTCTAATAATGTTGCGATGAGTTTTTTGCAACGGCTGTTAAGCTGCTCGGCATCTTGTACACTTCGTATTACGACCGGTTCTATATCGTTAAGTTTCATAACATAATTCACTTGAACCAAAAACTTGTAACACAAAACTAAAGTGTCAAAACGAATCAAAATGTCAGGAATAAATAAATAAATGTGACAACTTGACATTTTTTACAGCAGAGCTACCACCTGAATCGCTAGCGGGAAATTTAAATTCCAGTTAGTCAGCTCGGCGCCGAATATGTCCATGGTTGGCAACAATGAATTTAATTATCGCGCCCTCGATGACTCAACTAAAATTGGTATACCGGGTGCGTCTCAAAAGTGGCTCACCCCTCCAAATTTTTTATTTTTTTAGTGAAAAAAAAACGAGATTTGGTATGTTAGTATATAACATAAATTAGGATTGATTGACGTATTCAATTGTTTTAGGTCACTTCCGGTTTCACCGGAAATGACTACAACTTTTGATTTTTAAATGGCACCCCCGGTATTTTTTTACTTTATTCGATAGAAAATGCCACTCTGAATAGATGTCCACGTTTGACATTTTCGCATATGGTTTATTTGAAATTATAACTTGCGGTTCGTAACGAAAATTTGACTTGAAATACCAAGTGTGTGGTATCAAATTATTCGTAAAAAAATGCTTTTTCCAAATATGCTAATGTGCCACCCTCGTTCCATTTGAAAAAATTGAGATACAATTAAAAATACGATTTGAGCATTTTCTAACTGGCCAGGACAAGACACTAGAAACATTAGACGATCAAATCTATTTTTCCAAGGCTCCTTGATGAAGAATTAGTGTTTTTAACATACACATGGCACTCTAGATTGAATTTTAAAAAACAATTTTTTATTAAGCGAGAATGTCAAAAGTTGACATTTGATATGTCATTCAGAATGTCATTTTCTATCGAATAAAGTAAAAAAAATACCGAGGGTGCCATTTAAAAATCAAAAGTTGTAGTCATTTCAGGTGAAACAGGAAGTGACCAAAAACACCAATCAATCCTAATTTATGTCATATACTAACATACCAAATCTCGTTTTTTTAAAAATAAAAAAGTTATAGGGGTGAGCCACTTTTGAGACGCACCCGGTATATTATAGTAGATAATATTTGGTATCGCTTATAGTAGGCTATTATACAGGGTGTCCCAGAAATAAGTGCAAGTATTTTAACTGGTAGTAAAGTTGAACCCCAGAAACACGCGCATGAGGTTTTTTTCACGAAAAAAAAATATTTTAAAATTTGGATTTTTTTGAAAAATTTTTTGGAATTTTTTTTTAATTTTTAGTTAAAAAACACAATTTCTTGATAATGTGGCAACATAGGTAGTAGATTAAATTTATAAGAAAGAAGATCCAGAAAAGATCCAGCGGTTCTCAAAATTTTAGCAAAAATATTTTTTTTTTGGAAATTTTTAAAGTAAAATAACTCATTTGAAAAACGATAAAGAGAAAATATGTTTCTTTTATCGAGATCTACCACTCTTCAAAATACTTGCACTTATTTCTGGGACACCCTGTATAAGCTTTTATGTTGATTTTTGGGTCCTCAATAGGTACTGTAATATTTAAATTTTCCATGAATTACCCTCCATACTAGGGATGTGCGATAAAAGAATCGATTTTTTGGATCGATCTAGATCGAATCATCGCGATACAAGAAAAATCGCAAGCGAAAAAATCGATCTTAGTGAGAATCGATCTATTATTTTAATTCAATTTTAGACTTCGAATTTTCCTTCTTAGCAATAAATTAAAAAATTCGATCTCAATCTAATCTCGATCTCTAGAATCGATTCTATAAAAAATCGGTTTTGGATTAATCGATTCAAAAAATTGGGAATCGCATGTCAAAAGATCGATTTTCTGAAGAATCGATTTAAATCGAACATCCCTACTCTATACCAATACTGCAAGAGATAGTATAGGATAGAAAAAAAGGCGTCAAAGATGACTGGGGAATGACAATCGATGATAATTTTGACGAGGTCAAGCCCTAGACATCATTACTTGACCCGTACTTCCACTTGGTCTTAAGAAGGTTGTGTAATTTATTTTTACATTTTTTAGTAAAAATGAGTTGTAAATTGTGTAGTTTAAAATTCGAGAAAAAATATATTTTTTTGGAAATAGATTTGTATGTCTGGAAACGTTTTATCTATTTTCAATCTTTCTATAGTTAGTGCTAATTTTTGACAAATTTTATGTCAGTTTTTAGCAAATGACGTCTAGAGACTGACCTTGCCAAAATTATCATCGATTGTCTTTCTCCACCCGTCTTTGTCGCCGTTTTTTTCGATCGTATATGGTATCTTTCCAAATGTTTGTGCACAGCGAAGTGAGCAAGTATGAGTTAGTAGTTTTGTAGTTTTATTCAGTTTTATTTTTATTGATCTGTTACCTTAGGAACTATCGCTTCCCTCTCAAACGGTGAGTTTGAAGTTGCTATGACGTTTGTTACGATTTAACAGTTAAATCTCTGGTTAAATACTCATGTGTCACATTTATATATTCCTACCTATTAAATAAACTTTATTAAATATTTTCAATTGAAATGCAGTGGCAGAGTAAAAATGTACCTCAAGGGGGTATTTTACAACCGCCCAGAGCTAGCTATAGTCCAGAAACACACAACTTTCTTAAAGGTATGCTTCATTATTATAAAATTTTAAGTTTGGTGAATAACTATTTACTTTTCCATCGAATTTATATGTCATTGTTTGCGTTTCTAACTAAAATTAAGTAAGATTCTTAGTGACTGACTAACTAACTAATCAATTTGCATCAATATAATCGTTACTTGCTTTTAAACACATAAACATCAATTTGTAAAATAACTATTGTTAGATGTCTTCCTCTGAGACACATAATTTTAATAAACATCTGTTGTTTGTTCTTCCATTTAAAATGTTTTATTATACAAGGTGAGTCTATAAGTGCACCTTATTTGTGCTGTTTGTGCAAATATTTTCAGGGCTGGTAGAGATAAATAAAAGAAACATAATATATTCTCTATACCGTGTTTCAAATAAGTCCAAAATAACCGAGTTATTAAAGTTTGAATTTAAAAAAAACTGATTTATTTTTAAAATTTTTAAAAAGTTTTGCCACCTAAATCTTTCTGTATTTGCATCTCTTTTTGTGCCGTAATATCAAATATTAAGAAACTATATCGTGGGAAAATTTGCGGTGAACAGGAAGTATCTAAAATTTTTTCTAAAATATACAGGAAAATTTAAACGAAAAAGCACGATTTTCAACATCTCTTTTTACAAAAAAAAATCATAGACGTGTTCCTGTGGTCGAAATATACCACCCCTGAAAATATTTGCACTTATTTAAGACTCATTCTGTATAGTTTTACCACTATTCTTTTATTAAAACACATTTATATCCACTGCTTAGGTATTGCCTATTTTTTTTTCGTTTGAGTCATGGCATTATCATACAAGATGCCAAATGTAGAAATTAGGAAAAGTTACGCGATGAGAATTATACCAAAATTAAAACACGTATACATGACGAAGCTGCTGCTGTACGAGAAAAGAGAGAATTTCTTTCTACAATCTGTAAGAAAGTATATACCTGAAAAGCTAAAAATAATGTATTTCACAGCTTGCTTGGGGCCAGCAACATTGGGCCAGCTGAACTGAATGAATCAGGAAGTCTTAAAGTTTCTCAAAACCGTGATTGAAAATCGTAGCATATTCAAGATCAAATTAATTACCGTTATCGATAATGGAAATAAAACAGTAGGTAGAACCCTGTGAAACTGAGTGATTTTCTAGTAAAAATTCAGTCATGGCCGACCCGATATTGATTTTTATAAAAATTTTGATCAAGACAATTTCAATATTTTCAAAAAATCGGAGGCAAAAGAGATTTTTTCGCCCGAGCGAAAATCACCCTTACTTGGGGTGATTTGACCCTTATCCAGGGTGTCCCAGAAATAAGTGCAAGTATTTTAAGGGGGGTAGATTTGGCTAAAAGGAACATTTTTTCTCTTTATGGTCCAAAATAACCGAGTTATTTTACTTTGAAAATTTAAACAAAAAATGATTTTTTACTTAAATTTTCAGAACCACTGGATCTTTTCTCTATTTTCATTCATGTAAATTTAATCTACTACCTATGTTGCCAGTTTATCAAGAAATTATGTTTCCTTAACTTGAAACAAAAAAAATTTCCAAAAATTTCTTCAAAAAATTCCAAATTTTCGCAAAAAAAACTGATAGGCGTGTTTCTGAGGCCGAAATATACTACCAGATAAAATACTTGCACTTATTTCTGGGACACCCTGTATATTAATAAATCAAATATGTTTCTTCGTTATGATCATTTTGTTTGTGGATTCGGGCCGGTTGCCTGTTATTCCCGGGTCGGTTTCCACTTCCCCATCCACCCCTGATTTGCTGTAATTTTTTGGATGTTGGCTGTCGAAATCTTCTCTGACTCGTCCGAAATTGACTGAACATATACCGTGCTGTCATTTTATATTTATTAACAAGGTGTTTCAAAAAATGGGGAGATTCCCACGGGAGATTCCTCACGTAAAAATATGATTTTTTTTTCATATCAACATAGGTCCGATTTTGCTTTGTTACGTAACTACCGGGTGTTGGAAGTCTTAATATTTTTTCGATTTATTATATATAATATTTATTATTAATTTTCTTCCAAGTACTTTTAGCGTTTCGAATGAAATTTTGAGGGTAAGAGTTACTATAAATGCGACATATTTTAAAGCTAAAAAAGTGTCGACATATTCACCAGGGAGGTGCATATGAGTTATCACTAGAATATTTTTCTAAAAAAAAGCTTGTACACCACTGACTTTTTTTCTCTTGTTAGCGAAATAGTGTAAGGGGTTTAATGCCGACTAAAAGTTATCTCTTGATATTTTGTGGATTTCGGCCTCCTTGATGAAATAAATGCAATTTTATTAATTTGCCTTGATCCAAGTCTAATAGCAACCATTAAAAAAAATAATATTGTTACGTTTTTCGTCGGTTCCGTGTGGATCGAAAGTCACCATTTATTTAAACACTATTTATTTAACACTAATTAACAAAAACAATAACGATAAAAGACTTATAGAACTATTTACAAACGATTTATAACTACGAATTTATTTTGAATTTTAGCGCGTCAACTGCACTGGTATATTTATAACTGCCCTGTAGGCCACCGCTGCCGGTTTTATACCGACAGGTAAAGAACTCTAGAATTATCTATAGATCGTTAGGTGCGTAGAGAAGGTTTCAACGTTCTCGTTTGTACTAGTCCACTCCAGTGGGACTCGATTCTCGAACGAATGAATCATTGCGGTGTCTGTGCGATGTTAAGGTCATCCGAGTGGCGGGCCATATTGTGAGGCAATGAGTCCACACCGGCCCGCAACACTGCCCCCTTCTTAGGGGCAATACTGTCCCGAGATGGCTTGGTGAATGAAGGTATTTGCAAAGCTGGCCCCTGGTACATTGGTGAAGTCTGGTAGAAATAGCAGTCTACAGTTTTTCTCTCCTCGATCTCAGCTTTGGGTTGGAGCAGCAAACGAGGATTCGGATTCCCGTAAATCTGAACAAGACTTCAATCATGTTCCGGATTGTACAATCCTCAAAACCATCGAGTCCACACGCCAGCTTCGGAATGGCTAATCGTGCAAGTTGTTGTTTAGCAGGGCTTCTCAGTTCACAATCAGGGTCTTCCATAGATTGAGATAAGTCGGCTTACTCGGGGACCATTCCTTGGTGACCAGGTAGAAGATGTGTCTTGCTTGACCATGTGCATTGTCGGTTAGCCTCAAGACGTGCTTCCAACCTCTGATCCTGTCGGCGTAGTTCTCCTCGATCACCGCCCAAACTTCTCATTGAACGTCGCAGCGATTCCTCTGGACATCCGCAAATCTCGAGCCACACAATGAGCGAGCGAATAATCAGAGGCACGGAAAAGAGGTCCCAGCTCGATGTTCTGTGTCGAAGTCAAATTCTTGTAATCGTTCAATCCATCTAGCTACCTGCCCTTCAGGATTCTTAAACTGCAACAGCCATTTCAAAGCAGCATGGTCTGTTCTTAACAAGAACTTCTTCCATAGAGATACTTGTAGAAGTGTTCCACTGCTTTAACTACTGCTAGTAATTCTCGTCTGGTTACACAGTAGTTCCTTTCCGGTTTTGACAAGGTCTTACTAAAATAACCAATTACTTTTTCTTGACCATCCTGGATCTGAGACAGAACGGCGCCTAACCCAACATTGCTAGCGTCGGTATCCAATATAAAGTTTCCGTTGCCAAGAGGATAGCTAAGTATGGGCGCACTAGTCAGGGCCTTCAATCTTCGGAATGCCTCGTCAGAATCTGAGTCCCAAGAGAAACGCCTTTCGTCTTCGGTAAGTCTGGTCAATGGTTTTGCGATGGTGGCGTAACCTTGTACATAGCGGCGATAGTATGTGCATAGTCCCAAAAAGCTTCGTAGTTCATGTTTGTCTTTGGGTATCGGCCACTCTTCCACTGTCTTGGTCTTCTGTGGATCTACCGCAACTCCCTGGGAGGAGACTACATGGCCCAAGTAGTGTGTACCTTTTCTTGACACAGATGACATTTCTTGGGGCTAAGTTTCAAACCAGAGCTCCCTAGTCGCTTGAAAACTTCTTCCAAATTCTTCAGATGATCGTCAAAGGATTTCCCAACCACTATGATGTCATCCAGGTACACGAAACAGGTAGTCCAGGATAGTCCCTTTAACACAGACTCCATTAGTCTCTTAAAGGTAGCTGGCGCGTTGCACAATCCAAAAGGCATGACAGTAAATTGCCACAGTCCGGAGCCCACCGAGAACGCTGTTTCCTCTCTGTCTTGGCGCCATGTCGACTTGCCAATATCTTCAGATCCAAAGTAGAGAATATCGTCGACCCCGCCAGCGTGTCTAGAGTATCGTCTATCCTCGGCAGGGGATAGCTATCCTTCTTTGTAACATTATTGAGCTGCCGATAATCAACACAGAACGTGGTGGTACCGTCTTTCTTCTTTACTAGTACTACCGGCGATGTCCACGGGCTGTTAGATGGTTCGATGACACCCTCTTCTTTCATTTCTCGAAGGATTTTGTCAGCTTCTTCACGTTTGGCGAGCGGCAGTCTACTCGGATTTTGTTTGATTGGTCGTGCATCTCCGGTGTCAATTTTATGTTGTACTAAATTGGTACGACCTCTATGTCCTGCTTCTCCTTTATCAAACACATCTTGATACTTGATTATCAGGTTTCTCAATTTTCTACTATCTTCGGGAAATAATCCCTTAACGTTTACTAACTCCTTAACCATTTTGTCCGGAATTTTTGAAATCGAAACTTTGGAGGCTTCCACGCTTCGAATGACTGAGGAGGCCGAACAACAGTACCCTAACAGGGTTCCCTTCTTCAAGGATACAGAATGATAATTCGTGTTCATTACTCTTACCGGTACAGACTTCTTCGCTCGTAGCAGGGGTTTTCCAACAGCGACCCCTCGTCCTATTTCGCTGTCATGGTTCCTTGGCTCCAACAGAATAATACTCCCATTATTCGTTTTACCTTCCAGGCGACCATCCAAAAATATCTCACAGCGCTCAGGGATCGAAACATCTTCTGCTACTACCACGCGAAGCGTCTCCTCACATTTTCGATGTAGAACCACTTCTTCTTCATTTATTTTCAAAATTTCTTGTTTGAGGTTTAGTTCAAAACCTCTAGTGGTCACGATGTCCATTCCGAGAATAAGTTCATCTTCGATGTCTGCTACTAACACTCGATGATTAAAACAGGTGCTTCCGATAACAAAATTAAGATCTACCTCTCCATGGATGAGAGCGCAGCTTCCTGTAGCTGTACGTAGTCGCCATTGTGTTGTTTTAATCCTTTTTGATGTTTTAAGGATATCCGGCCTGATGATCGTTTTGGTCGCACCCGTATCCAACAGCATGGTCCGTAACTCTCCATCCACGAAACTAGCCACAAAAATGCTGTTGAACTTGTGTTGTAGCGATGCGACTTGAACAGTTTTCGTTGGAACCTGTTGGGTACTGCTCCATATGTGTCCCTTTGATTCGACACTTGGCGAAACCGAGTCCACGTCTTTTTCTTGACAGTGACTTCTTACGTGTCCTGCCTGGCCGCAATTCCAGCAACAAGTCGGTCCTTTCTTGCCCATGTACTCCTCCATGACTTTCCGTACAATGCTTTCCACGGATTTGTCGGAACATTGGTTGACCGCCCGTACTCTCACTAGAGACCGAGAACTGTTTCGCGGCCTCAAATTCTAGGGCACGTGCTAAAGCATCCACCAAGCGCGTTGGGTGGGCTAGAAGAAGCGCTTGCCTTGTCTCCCTGTCACGTAAGCCATCGGAGAATGTCTGTACTGCCAACCGCTCCATAACATTCTCGGGCGTAGCAGGATACGCAAGGCGAACCAGGCGGGCTACGTCGGCTTCAAACTCCTGCAGAGACTCATTTGACTTTTGAATGCGATTTTTTAGCTGTGAATGATAGACATGTTCCAAATGAGCTTGGCCGTACCTCATTTCTAAATGTCGTACCAATTGCTGATAATCTCCCTGTTCCGATGGTGACAATGTCTGCAGAATATCAGTCGCATCTCTCGCAGTGCGACAGTCAAAGCGGTAGCCTTTTCAGCGATTGTCCATCCGTTCGCTCGCAGCGGCCTCAAACTGGCAAAAATAATTGGCCCAAGCGGTTTTTCCGTCAAACTGTGGAGGCTTAATAACTGACTTTGAGATATACTTATTTTCGACTAGTTTCGGTGCCTCTGATGTTTCTTGACATTTTGGTGAATTGGCCTTTTCTATTTCTTGTTTTAAAATTTCGATTTTTTTATTTACATCGTCCTCAATCTGTGCTATTTTGTCTTGTGTATCTATTATCTTTTCTTCTAAGTCCCTGGAGTTTTCTGTTATCTTGTTGTATAAACTTTGTTCTAAATTCAATATTTTATTATTGAAGTGTTATTTTGTCTTGTAGCTCCGTAGAATTCTCTATAATCTTTTCTTCTAATTCCCTGGAATTTTCTGTTATCTTTTCTTCTAAATTAAGTATTTTATTATTAAAGCTGGCCTGTATGTCTTTAGAATTTTCTGCGATCTTATCTTCCAAAATATTAATTTTATCACTGATTTTCTCTTCTAAATTAACTTCCAAGTCAATTATTTTACTATTCAAATTGTTCAAGTTGTCGTCTAATTTTGAGAATTCTCTGTCATTTTATCATTCAAATTCTCTTCCAATTAATCATTTTACTATTCAAATTGTTCAAGTTGTCGTCTAATTTTTGAGAATTCTCTGTCATTTTATTTTCTAATTTTGTAGGCACGAGTCAAGGTCACCTTCCAACTCAAAGCAAAATGTGTCAGGATCCTCACCTTCCTCCACCAAAACGTCTCTCAGTCTAGCTTGCAAAATGCTTTTCTTTCCATCTGTCTCGCACTCTCTCTCTTCCAATATACATTTCAGTTCGGACACTTTCAAGTCTTTCAACAATTTTTTCAGAGCCATGGTCAGTCTTTTTATTTTTCTTGTCTATCACACACGCCACACTTGTCACCATTTGTTACGTTTTTCGTCGGTTCCGTGTGGATAGAAAGTCACCATTTATTTAAACACTATTTATTTAACACTAATTAACAAAAACAATAACGATAAAAGACTTATAGAACTATTTACAAACGATTTATAACTACGAATTTATTTTGAATTTTAGCGCGTCAACTGCACTGGTATATTTATAACTGCCCCCTGTAGGCCACCGCCGCCGGCTTTTATACCGACAGGTAAAGAACTCTAGAATTGTCCATAGATCGTTAGGTGCGTAGAGAAGGTTTTCGAATGTTCTCGTATGTACTAGTCCATTCCAGTGGGACTCGATTCTTCTCGAACGAATGAATCATTGCGGTGTCTATGCGATGTTAAGGTCATCCGAGGGCGGGCCATATTGTGAGGTTAGGTCGAGTCCACACCGGCCCGCAACAATATCATTAACTTGCGAAAGTTTTAAATAAGTACTTATTGATTCCCCATCAAAAAATATGCAAAAAAGTTCCTATAAATATGGGTATGGAAATGCATAGTTTTAGAGTTACAGGATGTTAAAACTTTTTAAAATTCGTTTTTTTGTAATTATCTTAAATACCATTATTTTTTTATTTGAAATTGCTGTAGGTTGGACTAATAGTAATAATAACTAATAGTAATAATATTTAATAATAAATGAGATAAAATATATAATTTATAAATTTTATTTTTATTTTAATTTTATTAATTGTGATAATAAAATTGCGTTTATCTCATCAACGAGGCCGAATTCGACAAAATATCAAGAGATAACATTTAAATGGCATTAAAGGGACTACACAATTCTGATATCAAAAGACAAAAAATCAGTGGCGCACAGGTTTTTTTTTGGCCGTTTTATATGCTCGTCCCTGATGAATTAATCGACACTATTTTAACATTAAAATATGTAGGACTTATAGTAATTTTTACCCTCAAAATTTCATTCGAATCAGAAAAAGTACTTGGAAGAAAATTATATAATAAATCGAAAGATTATTAAAACTGTACCACCCTGTAGCTATTTATCTCCCCACGAGAGATGGCACATGTTTTTTGAAACACCCTGTATATAAAATTGGGTCCAATGAACTATCCACACAGACACAGGATATTTGCATTTTTATTTTATCAAAAATTTTAAATTGATTATACACTGAATTTCAAAGTATTTTAATTTAATATTGATACTATTTGATGTATATTTGACGTAATAGAGAATTATTAACTCATGATTTGACATGACAGAGACAGTAGGAAAGACAAAGTTGCTATGTTCACTGAATCATCTGTAAAATTTTTGTTAACAGATAAAAAAGAAAAATAACAAAAGAATGAAACCAAAGCAATCAAAACACACTCATAGCATGTTTTGATTGCTTTGGTAAAAAAATTGCTTTTGTTTGCTCGAGCTATAAATAGACATCAACCTAACTTAGGTCTACCGGCCTCTAAATATTTATTCGTTTAATACTCTAAAAAAATAACTGTTATGATAATCTTCGAAATCTAAATATCTACTTTTAATAGTTTTGATGGAAGAAAGTAGAATGTCAGCGATGCAAAGACGAAAGGTAGACTATATATTACGGAATGGGGAACCCTTGCCACCTTTACAAAGAAAAATGTCGCGGCCAAAAAACAACATACCAGAGGTTACTATACGACCAGGCTCTTCCAAAAGGAGATCCAGAGAAGCTATTCTTTTATCTGGGGCATACGAGAAAGACATATTTAGGGTAAGATTTAACTTAACTGGTGGTGAATTTTCTCGTGGTGAATTTTTGTACCGCTTATGGCGTGCTGGGATCCGACGGACCCCAATTTTTTTTGTGAACAAACAATTTCATTAATTTTCAACAAATTAATAAGAACGGACACAAAAATTAAGTAAAACGCATTTTTTAGGAATTTTTGACAACAGACCCATACAGCACACTTCGTCCCAGGGACGTACATTTTATGTCCATTTTACGTCGGTACGTCCCGGGACCTATTAGGGACGTACTATGTACGTACAAAAGTATACGTACATAGTACGTGCCCCATGTACGTACTATTTACGTACATTGTAGGACATCACTACGGACGTACATGCGAGTACGTACTACGGACGTACATGCGAGTACGTACTACTGACGTACATGCGAGTACGTACTACGGACGTACATGTGTTGTTAACAAAATGTTATTTAATTTTAATATCATGACTGGATTATTTTGGTCAGATATACCCAATAATAATGAATGGATTGGATCAGTGGATCTTTTCTAGGCTAACGTTAATTCAAGTCACTCTAACCTCACCTACCTCTACTTCTTTTATTAATAAATCTAACCCGACCGCTATAAAAAATGATTTCCTAAATTGTCCAATGACCATAATGCATGACAGCCTTTGAAGAAATCTGATGGGTTAAAAATGCAATATATTATGTAATCAAGCCTATAGTTATTAACGTAATAAGGCCGATAAACAACAAATAACGGCCGGGCTGAAGTTTGTGATCCGAGGCGATAGCCGAGGATCATAAGCAGCCAAGGCCGTTATTTGTTATCGGCCGTGTTGCGTTCTAGATTTTTCGTCATACTGCAGATTTTTTAGAGCAATAAACACTACTATTTAATAACAAATTTTATTGAACAATAACACAAGTAAGGATAAAAAATACATAATGTCTTATACTAAAATTCATTTTTCATGATAATGAACATGGAAATTAAAAGTGCACTTGTTGTTCTTAGAAATCTGTAATCCTTCCCAGGGATTTACAGATTTTATAGAAGAAGATGATGCTACTGAAGAATGGCAAATATTTGTATCCACTAAAGACACATTATTTTTGGAGCTATCATGAAAAAAGTTGATTTGTTATTTTCATTCTTTGGAAACTGATTTTTCTATGTAAGTTTCTGCCACTGTTGAAGACTCCCATCCTCCTAGCTCCTTTAGCGATAGTAAATCACCACCATTTTCGGCGAGCATGGTTGCTGATGATCTACGAAATGAATGCCCTGTATAACGTTCTGGATTCTCCAAGTTCAAAAATTTTGCAATTTTCTGCGGTACGCTCCCCTGATGGTATGTATACCGACGATTTGCTTAACACACTTGCCTTTCTTGTAACCAATGAAAAATTTTGGATTGTCAAAGTTACGAGGACGCAGGTTGATGTATTTTTTGTATAAACCATAGGCATCAAACGAAAGGCCCGTTTTTGGAATAAGAAATTTCCTATCTTTCTTATTTTTAGTATTTCTTAATGAGACAAGAATATTTTTCTCCGAATCTTCGAAATCATCAACTGTGAGTGACCAAAGCTCGCTGCGCCTACAAGCTCAAGAATACCAAGCACCAATACAATTTTTTTCGAGTAACCAGGTGTAATCATCGGCATCCAGTAGAAAATTATTTATGTCATTCTCCGACAGAACTTTGGCTTTTTTGGTGAATAACCTTCGTTTTTGCGCCTCAGAAACATGAACAGTTTACCAAATCTATGAACAAATATAATTTAGATGAGTATGATTAAATATCGAAGAATATAATGGCTTTTTTACCTTGATATGTCGATGTTTTCATATACTCTCAACGCAAGCTTCAGCATGGATATCTTTGTCCACAGTGATGTAGGAGAATACATTTCAGACATTCTTTTTAGCATAAGCCAGCAATACCGCTTCATTTACGCTGTTTATACTTCTATCCTGCCGCCACTTCAAAAAATTGTCATATTCCTGCTGATATCTCTCTCTGGTTATAGTCGGAAGTAAATTTTGAGTAGCCGCAGCCGCTTCCTCCTGTATTTCCAACGAAATTTCTCGCGACATCTCGCTATGGTCTATTTTCCCAATTTTTGAAAAGTCCAACTGACAATAAATAGTCATTGTTGCAGGTGACAGACGTTACGATTACCTTAGAAACTTAACGGCCGCCGGCCGTTATGATAACGTCCGGCGGACGTTATATGCATCTTTTCCATTCTGATTTTGCTTATGTTATAATAATATAACAATATAGTATGACGAAAAAGGAATATTATGCAGTCCTATGTTTAGATTTCCCGCTAAGTTATTCGTTCACATTCGAGTCTTGTCGGAATCGGAAGTCGGGCGGTTTCTAATGACGTTTTCGATTGGCAGAGCTAGAGCGCACGTGCGCACTCAGTGTAGTTCCATCTTTTATTAATCAACGTAAAAAATAAAAACAACAATACACTGAGTGCGCACCTACACCGATCCAGTTTTCGATTGTGTTGTGTGTCATGGTGGCCGTAGGTTGTTTGGCTTTCACCACAGCTTTCACCTTGTTTTCTTTTGTCGTTGCCTTCGTTGCTCGTTGTTTCAAGGTAAGTGAAAGTGTAATAATATAATCTGACTATTTCACCTAGCACAGTCACAACCTCGAATGATTGAGAATCAGCTCATTCAATTTTTTCAAAACAGAGGCAAGAATTAGATATTTGAATACTTAGTTTTCTTTTTGTATTTTTTAGTTAGAAGCAGGCCAGACTCACGGGTGTATCAAGACATAAGGGATGACCCTGTACCTGAGTTTTTATATTAATAAATTTTTTAAGGTGACTTCCATTAAATTATTTCTAATTAAATTCCTAGGTCGTATACGTCGTTGAAAAATGTACGTCCATAGTACGTACATTGTACGTCCATAGTACGTACGTTGTACGTACTTTCGATCATTTTACGTCCAGTTTTGGTCCGGAACAAAACATAAAATGTACGTACCTGGAATGTACGTACATGCGACGTACATAGTACGTACATTGCCACGTCCCAGAGACGTACCGGAGACGTACAGAGCGTTGGAAAATGTACGTCCCCGGTACGTACATAGTACGTACCTGTACGTACTTGTACGTACTTGTACGTACCAGGGACCTGACGTTCGTCCCGCCATTACATACCAGGTACGTACATAGTACGTACCGTGGCTGTATGGGGAAATATAACTTGGCTAGGAAACCCATAGAAATTAAAAACATATATATTTTATTATTATTAAAAATACAAACAACTGAAATGTGAAGCTAAAGTAATAAACATAAATTATTTTCAACAAAACTGCAAACCTTGAATGTACATCACTTTTTCAAATACAGTTCATGCTAATATAGGATCTGCATTTGCCGCACATGGATCGTACACATTTGATTCATGAAATTTTTGTTTTTTGTCATTTCTTGGTTGAGATATGGTTGACATATACCATATCTTTTCCTCTTCTGATATTGATTGTTCAATTTTCTCTCTTCTATAAATAACAGATTCAGAATCGGAGTTAAGGTTACTCTTCGGAGAAAAATCAATGTCTCGATAATCTTCATCTCACTTAAGCCTCTTTAAGTTCATCAAACCAATCAATTAATGCTTTCTCAAAATTAGCGTCCCAGCGAGGCACACTTTTTAGACTACGCACTATCCTAATAATGAATCACTCTTGGCGTGGTGGTGCCACACAGACCCCATGAAGCTTTAGCTTCCGCTGCGCTGGTAGGAACGATACTTGATAAAATCAAATGCATCTTTAACAGTTGCATATTGGTACTCTAACTTAAAGGTAAATGGCGCGCGAGGCCTAATTCTTAAACGTAAACATCTTACAGAGGTTTAAATAGTGCTTGGGGTCTGGTTTGGTTTTGGTTAGGTACCCACCACGCTAGTTGAAGTTTAAAATTTATATATTAGCGACTGCTAATATATATGTAAACGCACAGTGTACACTGTTGCAGAGATGGCCACAACACATGACTTTATATATGAGACATGGCACACTATGCTTTTTTGTCGCAGCACTGATGCCGCGGCGCCGGCGCAGTATAGTTTAGTCCGGTGGTACACTGCGCTTTTTTGCGGCTGCTAAAAAGATACGCAGAGATCGCGACAACACACTACGCATTTATATGATACATGTTACACTATGGGTCTATACAGGGTGGCGCACCTCATTCGCCTCGGTTGATTATACGAAAACGGAAAGATGTAGAAACAACATATTTTATGGGTATATGGGAGAGGCAATGTGCACAATTTAAAATTATTTTGAAATATACAGGGTGTTTCAGAACTAAGATCCATACCAAAGTTATATTTTTTCTTATAGAAAACCCGGTATTTTATTTAATTTTTGTATTCTTGGGCCTAAAAAGGCATTTATTATAATATAAGGATTAATTATGTTTAAAATTTTTGGTTTTTCAGATATTTACAGATATTTAAATTTGCATGCTACAATAGAATATATTATTAACACCTTGTACATTAGTTTTCTGAATTAATTCTTATGCTGAGTTTAAAGTCAGAGAAATAAACTTTACTGAAAAATTGTACTGTTTTCCTTAATTTATACGGGGGTATCAAAAACTGCTGATTATTTAACTATTAACTGCTGATTTATTTTATATAAAAACTTCCTTATTTTAAATGCAACACCTTGTATATTTTAAAATAAATCGAAGCAGATTCAAATGCTCTTTCAAACTATATTAAGGTTTCCTATACCTATCTAATTCAGGTTTTGAATAAAAAGCGATTTTTAAATAAAATGGCAACCAAGAGGGTTAGTGTCATCATGGCAAGTTTCTAGTGACAGTTAGTAGCTTCAGATTCAAATCAGATTCAAATGCTCTTTCAAACTATATTAAGGTTTCCTATACCTATCTAGTTCAGGTTTTGAATAAAAAGCGATTTTTAAATAAAATGGCAACCAAGAGGGTTAGTGTCGTCATGGCAAGTTTATTAGTGACAATTAGTTATATTTTCAAAAAATATAAAAAAGTAATAATAATTTATTTTTATATACTACAATATCATAATTTTAAAAACTCGGATAAAAGCATTTTAAAACTTCGAAATATAATAGCTGAGTGAAAAAGATCCCCAATTTGAACTTTTATCTGGTAATTATCAACGCTGCTAAAGTTACGCCTCCAGTTGATGACGTCACGCATCGTTTACGTCACAGGAGGATGGGCTTGATATTTCGTCGGTGCCGATGCTTGTCGCTCATGCGTAAGGACATCTCTGGTTTTTGCCATTTACGCGTCGACTATCTGGTTTTTCCCTTGTCTAGCAAATAACCAAGCTGTAATGTCTCTGGGACTAAGCGTGTTATTGTTTTGTTTTTTTCTCGAATGACGCTGACATTTGCCTAGAAAGTTGTATCGCTATCTTAATTTCCATAAAAATGTGACATATCTGGTTTTTCCCGTGGAGCCTTCATTTGTCCACTCCATTTATTGCTGAAGGAACGATTTAGGTATGTTGCCAATCTCGAAGTTATAAATGTAAATTTAATATTATATAATCTATTATTATTTTAACGTTTTAAATATCCGCAATTAACTCGAAAAACACTACGATCTGGAAATAAACGGGACATACGCTATAACAGTACAATTATGTGCGCAGTCGTTTGAGCGTCTCGGCAAGTATAGCTAAGACTACACTTTGTCCGAATAATTGTGATGCTTTGACTCGGGCTAGGTTTACCGACAGAGAGTGAGAACGCGACGAGTGACAAATAATTACACAAGGAAACCGTTCTGACGACATGGCGAGTATATTCCAATAACAAATGTTTGTCAAGCACACGAGTCGTGAGAACTTAACAACTTTTCGTGAGTCTGCTGCGTTTACTATTATCACAGTTTATACTTCCTTAAACTGTGCTATTATCGTCCTCTTTTGTCGGCCCTGTGCCATCAATTGTCATTATTTCTCGTAAATTGTCTTCATGTCTTTTGTACAGGGTGTCCAATTTTTATGTGTTTTATGGGGTTTCTCATTTATGAGTAGAGATTTAAACCCATTGTAGCTACGAAACAAAGCATAATCGGCCCTATGTTGGTATAAAAAATAAAACTTATTTATACGTGAGGAATCTCCGCACGAGAGATGACACGTTTTTTGAAACACTCTGTATAACTTTTTTTTTAATATATTATTGAATTTTAGCCAATTAAACCAGGTATGGACAGAGAACGAGAAATTGAAAAACTGGCAAACAAAATGGCTTATAGAGAAGACGTACATGTTACAAAATCAAAAGTATTAAAGAAATTAGAAAAAGAAAAGGTCGAGCTTGCTGCAAATCGATTTGATCAACGTGAGTTATTAATGGATTAAGACATTATTAAAACTTTACATACAATATTAATGAAAATATCACTGAGTTTAAGTTTGAAGTAAAATTTTTAAGTAAAATGCATAAATAATCTCATACTCATAATTTTGATTTTATTCACCATGTGTATGAAGTGGTATTTTTACAGCATGAAATAAATAGATTAGTCAAGTTTTATTCTTTTCAGTGGTGCAAGAAATCAAGGAAAGAGAAGAATGGTTGAAAGAAATGGATGAGCTGGGCGAAGGTAACAAATATAAATTGATCATTGAACAGCAGATTCAGAATAAAGTTCGGGAAATGGATAGATTAAAATTATCTGCTTTGGACTAATATTGCCATCGTAACTTTTATGATTTTATATCTAAATATATTATGAAAATTATCAAAGATATTTTATTTTAGTAATATGTCTGGTTATCTTGTCTTCTGTTGGAGGGCAAAAATCTTGCAAAGGCATCACGACTGGTGTTTAGTTGTCGAGGTAATGTCGGATTCTTACAGAGTAAAAAAAAACACCTCATTTGACTCTACCATTATTATATTACCAAACTGATATATAATGTTTTTTACGTTTCACTGTTTATGAGATATAACGTTGCTAATGTCGCGGGCTACTGCGCGAGCTTGGAGGGCGCAGCTGCATGCCGCTCGATCTATTGTCGTGTCCGCATTCCAGTACCTCTGGTCCGCATTCCAGTACTAACTAGTCGATCAGCTGACGTCTTTCGGCAGTGTAGATGCGAGGGTTTTGACATGGTTTTGACGTAGTAAGCATTTTTTTCGTGTGCGGAATAAAAACTTTATGCCGGTAGGTTTTACAGCTTTGCTACTGAAAAATAGAATTGTAGAGAATTGAATTCTCTCCATTTTCTGTTCTATCAAATTTTCTTTTTAGCCTGAAAATAGAATACAAAATTTTTTTTCAGTTTCTCAAAAACGCTACCGACCTTCAGTGTATCCAAAAACGATCAGAGAATGTTATAACGATCTTCAGTTCAAGTGAACATCGTAATCCACGCGATGGTAATAGTCTAAGAGCTGGCTACATAAAAAACCTTATCATCGTTACATGGCTAATTTTTTGTGTGAAGTATCCTTTTGTATAGCCATTATGAAATAGTCATGTCCGCCAGCGCGATCCCGGGGCTTAAAACGGGGGCGGCCAATCGAAAGGGTGAAATTTTGACACTAAAAATATTATAAGATACATGAGTTATAATTGCGAAAATAGCTTTTATTTATTATTAAGGAACGTGGAAAATTGTTGGCAGACATTTTTCTAGTCGCTAAAATGCCGACAGACAACGCTAAAGAGGCATGAAATTTTAAAAATTATTGAAAAATGAAATTTGAAGAATGAAAAAAATCATTGCATATTTGCTGCCGATTGGTGGAATGTCATATTTATTTATTTTAAAAGCCGTATGCAAAAGGGCAGACAAAAAGATCGTGGCTCAATCAGCTGCAGACAGTTATCAAAAGCGCGATATTACTCTAGCCCTTTATTCAGAGAACGCTGGCCGCCTCACCCATTGAAGTATAGATAAATCATATAATATACGATTATATTATAAATGTATTTTTTTATTATTTCAATAACGATTTTTTTGTCTGCCCTTTTGCATACGACTTTTTAAATTAATTAACAATAAACATGACATTCCACCAACCGACATGCATGTATGCGATGATTTTCTTTTGTCAAAATTCTATGCCTCTTTCACGTTGTCTGCCGGCATTTTAGCCACGAGAAAAATGTCTGTCAACAATTTTACACGTTTCCTAATAAAAAATAAAAGCTATTTGGCAATTATAACTCGTGTACCTTATAATATTTTTAGTGTCAAAATTTCACCCTTTCGATTGGCCGCCCCCGCTTTAAACCCCGGGATCGCGCTGGCAGACATGACTATTTCACAATGGCTACACAAAAGGATACTGCACACAAAAAATTAGCCATGTAACGATAAGGTTTTTTATGTAGCCAGCTCTCGGTCTATAACTTGCAGTGCCCTATCGACCGTCATTGATTTCATGAAAGTTGCATACACATCGCGGGAATGAATGCAATATATCTCGTAAACAGTAAAACTTGAAAAAAAGTTACACATCAATTTGATAGGTTTTTTATGCTCTTTACTTTTAAAAACTTTGCGACAGTAAAAAAATGGTGTCACCCGGAAAAATACAAAAAACTGCGACTATAGTGATGGCTTGAGTGACTTTGGCGCCCTCTAACTTGGTCCTCGTAGGTTTTAGAGGTTTGTTACTTAGAGATGAAAATGTAGAGAATTTAATTCTCTTCATTTTTTGTTCCATAAAATTTGTGGGATCTACGGTTCAGCCAGAAAATTTAATCCAATTTTTTTTCCTCAAAAACGGTGGGGTTAGGTTAAGAATTTTTGAATTTAAGCTAAGTGCCGAGTTAAAGTGCCAGATTAACTGTACTAACTAGTGCAAAAAAATAGGTTGGAAATGCAATCAATTATTTTTTTAAATTTTATTTTGATGAATTTTCTTATTTTGAATAAATTGATCAATTCCTTCGCGAATTATTTCGACCGTTGAAAAGACTTACAATCCTAGTTCTTCTTAAAATATATTGCAACTGTAAGTAAACATAATGGTCCAAGATCACAGAGCGATCAGACATAACTTTTTTTTAGAAGGATGAAGCTCTCAATAGTACTCTCATATGCTTTGAATACCGGCGCGGTGTGTTTGTGGGGTTCACCCTGTGACACCTTAGCAGATACCAGGTGAGAAAGGTAAGAGAAATAAATAACTTGACTTATTTTTAAATGTCTGATTTTTACATATATGTTATTAAGATAGCTATTATAAAGTTATATTTAATCAGTCAGACAGATTGTAATGACCAAACATACTCTAAACACAAAAATTATTTAGCCGTGACTATGAGCGCGGGAGATGCGCTTCCCAGTAAAGTATTTAAATATTTTAAAAATACTTACTGCTTTCGATTTAATATTCTTGCATCTCTATTTAAATAAGATGAGCTTTTTTTATTAAAGTAATAATTAATAAACTAAATTAATTTATTGCATATAAACTACTCAAAACAATTATCGCATATCTTCTAAAAAAAATATTAATTTGAAAAACAAGACACCTTGAATTCTCTGACTTACGTTTTTAAATAGTTTGGATACTGTAAGAGAAAATATTGGAAAATAAGCCTGGGGGTGACATGCAATTCATAGTCGGCCAACTATTTAGTTGCAGATTGGTAACCAATATAATTCTTATGGAGCCGTGCTCACATGCAATCAAATAGTCGGCCGATCGGCTATATAAGTATGTATTGTTTTCACTTTTACAACTAATCTTATTTAAATAGAGTTTAAATAGAGATGCAAAAATATTAAATCGAAAGCAGTAAGTATTTTTAAAATATTTAAATACTTTACTCGGAAACGCATAGGTAGTTCTCCCACGCTCATAGTCACGGCTGAATAATTTTTGTGTTTAGAGGATGTTTGGTCATTACAATCTGTCTGACTGATTAAATATAACTTTATAATAGCTGTCTTAATAAGATGTAAAAATCAGACATGTCAAAATAAGTAAAAGTCATTTATTTCTTTTAGTTACCTTTCTATCTTTAAGTTACCACCTGGTATCTGCCAAGGTGTCACAGGGTGAACCCCACAAACACACCGATATTCAAAGCACATGAGAGCACTACGTATATATACTTTAAACTGTGGCACTACTGAGAGCCTAAGGTTTAATCCTTGTGAAAATAAGTTATGTCTGATGGCTCTGGCATCTTAAAGAAAGAGAAGGTCTATAAAAGAAAATAGGTTGGAAATGCAATCAATTACTTTTTAAAATTTTATTTTGATGAATTTTCTTCTTATTTTGAATAAATTGATCACTTCCTTCGAATTATTTCGACCGTTGAAAAAGCAGGAGTAAAATAAGACCCCTTAATAATGGGCTCCCTCAAGGATCGGTACTCGCACCGGTACTGTTTAATGTATATATATCCGACATTCCACATACAACGTCAACAAAATTTGGGTATGCTGACGATATAGCTCTTGCCATCCGCAGTAAAACTACAGAGGAAGCTCATTAGCCTACTATCAGAAGACCTGTCTGTACTGGGAAAATATTTCGCAAACTGGAGACTAATCCCAAATATGAATAAAACTGAAGTGTCGTGCTTTCATCTCAATAATAAACAATCACGCCTGGAGCCCCGAGTATACTTCAATAACAGCCTGCTACGTTATAATCCTCATCCATAATATCTAGTAGTAACAATTGACCGAACACTCTCGTATAAAAGGCATCTAGAGAATACCGCAGCTAAAATAAATACTAGAAATAATATAATACACAAACTTTGCGGTACTACTTGGGGCGCAAACGCATCCACTCTTAAAACATCAGCTCTCAGCCTAGTTTACTCAGTTGCTGAATATTGCGCTCCAGTTTGGCTAAACAGCTGCCAAGATAATTGACACCAAACTTAATGAGACTATGAGAATAGTTAGTGGCTGTTTAAAAAGCACACCTCTACATACAGCCACGGTACGTACTATGTACGTACCTGGTACGTAATGTTGGGACGAACGTCAGGTCCCTGGTACATACAAGTACGTACAGGTACGTACTGTGTACGTACTAGGGACGTACATTTTCCAACGCTATGTACGTCCCTGGGATGTGGTAAAGTACGTACTATGTACGTCGCATGTACGTACATTCCAGGTACGTATATTTTATGTTTTGTTCCGGACCAAAACTGGACGTAAAATGATCGAAAATACGTACAATGTACGTACTATGGACGTACAATGTACATACTATGGACGTACATTTTTCAACGACGTATACGACCTAGCAATTTAATTAGAAATAATTCAATGGAAGTCAGCTTAAAATATTTATTAATATAAAAACTCAGGTACAGGGTCATCCCTTATGTCTTGATACATCCGTGAGTCTGGCTTCGGTCCGGCAACTACACCCTTAGCGCACTCTGTCTTTTATTGGATGTTGAGAGATATTTTATTTTTTTATTCTCGAACTGCTTCTAACTAAAAAATACAAAAAGAAAACTAAGCATTCAAATATCTAATTCTTGCCTCTGTTTTGAAAAAATTGAATGAGCCGATTCTCAATCATTCGAGGTTGTGACTGTGCTAGGTGAAATAGTCACATTATATTATTACACTTTAACTTACCTTGAAACAACGAGCAACGAAGGCAACAACAAAAGAAAACAAGGTGGAAGCCAAACAACCTACGGCCACCATGACACACAACACAATCGAAAACTGGATCGGAGTAGGTGCGCACACAGTGTATTGTTGTTTTTATTTTTTACGTTGATTAATAAAAGATGGAACTACACTTAGTGCGCACGTGCGCTCTAGCTCTGCCAATCGAAAACGCCATTAGAAACGCCCGACTTCCGATTCCGACAAGACTCGAATGTGAACGAATAACTTAGCGGGAAATTTAAACATAGGACTGTATAATTTTCCTGTTAGGCTTGAATGCATAATATGCATAATATATTGCATTTTTAACCCATCAGATTTCTTCAAAGGCTGTCATGCATTATGGTCATTGGATAATTTAGGAAATCATTTTTTATAGCGGTCGGGTTAGATTTATTAATAAAAGAAGTAGAGGTAACTCGGAACGTTAGCCTAGAAAAGATCCACTGATCCAGTCCATTCATTATTATTGGGTATGTCTGACCAAAATAATCCAGTTATGATATTAAAATTAAATAACATTTTGTAATGCGTTTTCAAAAATTTTGAAGATACGTACGTAGTACGTACTCATATGTACGTCCGTAGTACGTACTCGCATGTACGTCCGTAGTACGTACTCGCATGTACGTCCGTAGTGAAGTCCTACAATGTACTTAAATAGTACGTCCCTAATTGGTCCCGGGACGTACCGACGTAAAATAGACATAAAATGTACGTCCCTGGGACGAAGTGTGCTGTATGGACCTTGGCTGCCCACTCTGAGTCATATTGCACCTCGCAATATTCGAAGACAGGAAAGACTCGTTAAGGAATATCAGAAAATATTCTCAAATCACCACCTTCCAGTCCACAATGACTTGCCAGATACTCGTCTGCGGAGACTGAAGTCTAGATCCCGCCCACTACTATTAGCAGAACAACTTTTGGGAGAAAACTTCAGTATAAATGATAAATGGAGGGAGTACTGGGACTCTTTAAAACCAGATCAAGCAGCTTATGTCATCGACCCTACAGCAGCTCTACCAGGGATGGAGCTGCCCCGCAACGAGTGGAAGGTACTCAACAGGGTAAGAACGTCTCATGGCATATGTCGTGATTCTTTTTATAAATGGGGACTGACGGGGTCACCGACTTGTGACTGCGGAGAACCACGTCAAACTGTTCATCACATTGTAACTGAATGCCCTCTTATAGCATATGCAGGAGAAGCGAGTGATTTCTTTGAAGCCACAGACACCTTGTTGAACTGGATCAATAGCCTCGATTTTAAAATTTAAGTGTACTTTTTGTAATATGTTTTATGTATAACTTTTTTATAAATTTTTAGACTTCTAGTTTTATTTTTACAATTTGTGACAATCTGTTTACATGTTATATTGTGTATGAATATATACATTTGATGGGGTGTAATTAAATCTATGTACGCCATACGCTAATTAAATAAATCGACCGTTGAAAAGACTTAGAATCAGAGCCTAGTTCTTCTTAAAATATATCGCAACCGTAAGAAACACATAACTAAATACAATAAATATCACAGCTTATTCCTCGAATAAATGGCTACTATCCGTTGCTATCATTTGTGCAAAGAAACTGTTCTCGTTCTGCATTAAAACGTGGGGCTCGTCGAACTCGGCAACTTCTCCCTTCTCCATAACAAGAATTTTGTCGCAGTCCAAAACGGATTTCAATCTGTGAGCGATGATGAACACTGTACAACTGGCAAAATTATCGGCGATCGTCTTTTGCACGAGGAATTCGGTTTCGGGGTCCATGTTTGCCGTGGCCTCGTCCAAAACCACCACTTTGTTCTCTCTGATAATAGCTCTGGCTAGGCAGATCAATTGTCTCTGGCCGGTAGAGAAATTAGAACCGTGGTCGGTGATTAAAAGATCTAGAGTTGGAATATTACCAGTCATATGGACCTTTCCTATAGTGTCCCAGATTTCCTTGTCGGAAAATTGATTTAAAGGATCGATGTTCTGGCGGATAGTTCCTAAAATGATATACAGGGTTGTTCACCAGGTACGACACGGAGTATTGTAGCTAAACGATTAGATTTTTACAAATTGTAAGTTTTGGGTTCGTTGAAGGACTATTAGAGCTACAATTTAAAAATATTTTTGCAACATACAGAGTGTCCAAAATAAGTAAAAAATATTACCTATAGTTTTATTTTTTTTAATGGAACACCCTGTATATTATTCTATTTTTAGATTCTACGATTGAAATAAAGGTAAATTTGATTAAGGTTTATCACACTTAAACCTTCCCGTTTTTGAAATATATTCAATTTTGTAAAATTACAGTAAAAATTTTAAGGCTTCATTTCTCACTTCGATTAAGATTTCTCCAAGGGTATCAAAGTTTTTAATACTAAATATTTACTGAAGTTTATTTATTGATCACTTATTGTGTTGCAATAATAAAAATAATACTACCTGATACAGAATGTCTAAAAATTTATTTCAAATTATTACTAGCTTTAAACGGCAATAACTTGTTTAATTTAAACGGAACACCTTGTATATTTTATGAGAATCAGATGCACAATATAATTGTTTCTCAAATGGTATTATACCATTTTTTATCTATTCCTTCAAGTTTTTTGTAGAAAATTGATTTTCTTATAATTTAGACCTCATTTATCAATATACCTCTAGACTATTGACATTTTAGATTATTTTTAAAGATGTAACAAATTTCAAAGAGTACAGATACTAATATTGTCGATATAGTTCGTTTATTTCCTTAAAAAAACTGTTTAAATATTTGTTAACCAATTAATATTATTCCAGTATTCAAACTACATCAATTGACGCAAACAGCGTTGATTAATAATAATTGCTCCAAATGCTAAAAAACTGAATTTTGTATGTGTATTAGCACAAACTACTCTAAATTAGTTTGTGGTATTAGACAAGTAACTAAATAATAAAAAGTAACACCTTAAAAAATGTATTTAATTTTTTGACGAATGCTTATTTATAACAACAGAGACGTTCATTTTCATAACTTATTATTATATTGATTTCTAATTGAAATCCACATTAAAGCTTCGTTCAGAACCTCCCAATTAGTGGAATAGATTAGTGGTTGCATTTTACTTTATACTTTTTAGTTTACGATGATTCACAATGTTAAAATACAATTAAAATTAATAAAATATCCTAACAACAGCTTGCGGTAGTCTGTTGTATCCATAGAGAAAGCATAATATTTAGCTTATAAAACAATAAACTTTTGATTTCTAATCAAAATATTTCTTGGCAGATGATAATCAAAGGCCAAAATGATATTCCTCGCAAATTTTGAAGTATAATTAGTGGAAAAGTCAAAAGTTTGTTAACTTTTTCGACTATTTGAAAATTAGTACCACTAATTATGACGTTCTGAATGCTTACATTAGAAATGGGTGACCAAACTTCTACGCTAATTGAAACCACTAATTTATTCCACTAATTGGGAGGTTCTGAATGAAGATTTATTTAAAATAATTTATTAACTAACAAAATTAAGTATGTTATTAAGTAATATTTGGGCGGAAATAATGGTGGTATATTTAATTAATGGTATACTCTTCTATAAAGTTTTTTAATAGTTTTCCTTTTGTAAACAAATGGGCTAGTAATATTATCGTTTTTAGCACCCGTACATTTTGTACATTTGTTACTTTAAAAAAATCGAAAATGTCAATATTCTATGGGTATATTGATAAATGTGGGCTAAATTATAAGAAAATCAATTTTCTACGAAAACTTGAAGAGATAGGTAAAGATGGTCTAATACAATTTGATAGACAATTAAATTGTGCATCTGATTTCCCTAAAACATACAGGGTGTTTCATTTAAATTAAACAAGTTATTGCCGTTTAAATCTAGTAATTATTTAAAATAAATTTTTAGACACTCTGTGTAAGGTATTTTTATTATAGCAACACAATATCTAATTAATAATTATTAAACTTCAGTAAATATTTAGAATTAAAAACTTTGATACCCTTGGAGAAATGAAGCCTAAATGTTTTACTGCAATTTCACAAAATTGAAAATATTTCAAAAACGGTAAGGTTTAAGTGTGATAAACCTTAATCAAATTTACCTTTATTTCAATCGTAGAATCTAAAAATAGAATAATATACAGGGTGTTCCATTTAACAAAATAAAACTATAATATTTTTTACTTATTTGGGACACTCTGGAACTTGTAAAAATATAAAGCAACCCAAAGCTTACAATTTTTAAAAATGCAATCGTTTAGCTACCGTATGATCGAGAAAAAACGGCATCAGCGATGGCTATGAAATGAAGATCGCTGTCATTTTATATGTAAATTTATATGGGGAATGTCGGAATGTCATCGATCGTCATTTCCCAGCCAACAATACTCCGTATCGAATATGGCGAAGAGCCCTGTAGATAATAAACATTTATTATAAAAAATAAAATATTTAATTCTTAAGGGTGATGTACGCTTGGTAGTAGATTAGTCGTTTATGGAGATCGGATGATATTTGTGGATTTATTATTTTAAATTTAGATTATTATTTGTGGATTTATTATTTAATTTAGATTATAATACATCTGTTTCGCCGACTTCAAATTTTTTTTCAGAATTGAAGTAGTGGCTGCAAAAACCAAGCAGCTCCACTTTTCTGCGAAACTGAGATCTTTACCGAATTGCCCTCTAAAAAATAGTCCAATCGTTCCCTGCAACAATCAGATACCTCCATTTAACAGTACACAACGTTATTTGGAGCTGCCTGGCTTTTGGTTTGATGCAGGAACCAGGGTAGCTCCTGGAGCTGTTTTTAGCAAGTTTTTTTTAATTTCTTGAAATGGAGCTGATTATTGTAGCCACCCCTTCAATTGCGTTATTGTCGATTCATTAGAAGAGTAGCAGAATTTCTTTAATTTTAAATACAACACGTGATAATGTTATTCTCTTTTAGAGAACTACTTTTATTTATCATATTTTTGTATATACTTACCTATGATCGTTAATGATTTGAATTAAAGAACACAAAGATTATTTAAAAGAAACGTTTTTATCTGAATCTAAGATTTGTCAACATTCATGGAACATAGGACACAGAGTAGATTTTAATGATGCAAAAATTATAATAAACGAACTAATATCCTCTAAACAATAAACAAATGACAGTTTTTTAAGTATCTTTTATATCTTATAGAGACTTTTTTAAATATCTTTTATAATTTTTCCATTGTTAAATTATACTCTGTGCCCTGTGTCCCATGAATGCTGACAAATTTTATATTTACAAAAATTGGAAAATGACACTGAATAGAACGACATAATATCATATGTCAACTTTTAACATTCTCGCTTGAAAAATCATATTTTAAATTTCAATCAGAGTGCCATGATGGTTGTGTTACTTACTGCAACTTTATTAGAATATTTTGAACGGGAAAGCGGTAGTAATGACCCTTTATTTCTCTTAAGTGCTATTAAGAAGGTGAGTTTAGTTGATGTAAATAAAAACTGTTTATACAAGGTGGCGCACCTCATTGCCCACTTTTATATATTTTTTTAATCAAAATATTTCAGGAAACAAAAATAACTCAATTATAGATATAGAGGGTGGCGCACCTCATTCGCCTCGGTTTATTATACGAAAACGGAAAGATGTAGAACCAAAATATTTTATGGGTATATGTGGGGAGGTAATGTGCACAATTTAAAATTATTTTGAAATGTACAGGGTGTTTCAGAACTAAGATCCATACCAAAGTTATATTTTTTCTTATGGAACACCCGGTATTTTATTTCATTTTTGGATTCTTGGGCTTTTGGTATTTATTATAAGGGTTAAATATGTTTAAAATTTTTGGTTTTTGAGATATTTAAAGTTATTTAAATTTGCATGCTACAATAGAATAGGTTATTAACACCCTGTACATTACTTTTCAAAATTAGTTCTTGTCCTGAGTTTAAAGGTAGAGAAATAAACTTTACAGAACAATGTTATTTCTTCCTTAAATGTATACAGGGTTACTAATAGGTATATACTAATAGGTTTTTTTATAAATCACATTACCAGCTCTGCGAAATAGGACAAGAAGTTTTTCAAAGAAACGCTTATCAGGAAGATTCCTATTTGTATATCTTTGAGCATAAGCCCTTGAGGTCAAGAAGCAATTTTCCTCACAAAATAATATCACTAGTAACATATTTATTCATTCCGCCAGCAGATACTGCTTTATTTTTCTTGATAAAATAATGAATACTTACTTATTAAACTACTGTAGGTAAATTTAAGTAAACTGTTATAAATTATAAATAATAATGTCCATAAACTAATGTCGACTTTGAAAATAGTTACTAACTGTTACTAGAAAATTGTCATGGCGACACCAGCCATCTTGATTGCAATTTTATTTAGAAATCGCTCTTTATTCAAAATCTGAGCTAAATAAGTATAGGATACCCTAATATAGTTTGAAAGAGCATTTGAATCTGCTACGATTTATTTAAAAAATATAGGGTGTTGCATTTGAAATAACGAAGTTTTTATATAAAATATATTCTTTAAATAAATCAGCTTGTCAGGGCTATCAACTTTTGATAGCCCTGTATAAATTTAAGGAACCAATACCATTTTTCAGTAAAGTTTATTTTTCTACCTTTAAACTCAGCATAAGAATTAATTCTGAAAAGTAATGTACAGGGTGTTAATAGTCTATGCTATTCTAGCATGGAAATTTAAATATCTTTAAATATCTCAAAAAATAAAAATTTTAAACATATTTAACCCTTATAATAAATGCCCTTTTTTGGACACAAGAATCTAAAAATGAAATAAAATACCGGGTCTTCCGTAAGAAAAAATATAACTTTGGTATGGATCTTAGTTCTAAAATACCCTGTATATTTCAAAATAATTTTAAATTGTGCATATTGTCTTCCCACATATACCCATAAAATATTTTGTTTCTGAATCTTTCCGTTTTCGTATAATCAACCGAGGCGAATGAGGTGCGCCACCCTGTATATCTATAATTGAGTTATTTTTGTTTCCTGAAATATTTTGATTAAAAAAAATATATAAAAGTGGGCAATGCTGTGCCGCGCCGGTCAAGATTAATCACGTGACTAAAAGTTTATTTGGTATGAACTGTAGCTGTAGTTATTTATATTATTACATAGTTCCCAAGTAAACCTTACCTTGAAAGAGCATAGGATCCTGGGGAATAATAGATATTTGTTTACGCAGGAACTTCAGCGATAGATTTCGAATATTGACACCGTCAACTAAAATGGTTCCTTCGTAATTATATAACCTGAACAGCACAGAAATAATGGACGATTTTCCGGCTCCGGTTCTTCCGACAATGCCAATTTTGTTTTTGGGTTTCACTCTGAAACTTATGCCTTTCAAGACCTTTTCAAGCTTGTAAGTTAAAGAGACATTCTCGAAAACTACTTCGCCCTTAGTCGGCCAGTGTTGTAATTCCTGGCCTTCATAGTCCTCCTTAAAAATCAAAATAAATATTCGCAAATAAAATGCAAATTATATTGTAATATATTTGCTACAAGAAAAGACTAAAGCGGCTCATACATTATCAAACAAATTGCGCAACACAGGCTGTTGCGCAACGAGTTGCCAATGTATGGTCCTGTTTGATGCGTTGCACAATTGTTTGATAAGTTTCAATAATTTTTAAATTCTTTTGTGCAACAGGACTGTTTGCGCAACGCGTTGTGTAGTGTATATGTGTGTTGCGCTTCGTTGTGCAATATTTTAGTTCTTTTATCCAAATTCTTTGTTTTCTTTTTCGTTTTTTGGTATCATCGACATCATCTAGGGCATGTACGATAATAATTAACGCAATGCCAGATGAAGACATGATTATTTCTCGAACAATGCACAACTTTTAATAAAAAGTTTGATCAAAATTTTACGAAGAGCACGGGTGATGCAGTTGTGCAACACAACGTTGCGCATCGCTTTGTTGCTCAATTTGTTTGATAATGTATGGGCCGCTTTAGAACAAACCTTATGGTGTTCTTTCGAGTAGTGCGTAGTGTGTGTTGTTAGTAGATTATCGTGATGGTTATGCTTATATGATGACTTATTTCAATAATAAAATTATCAGGTTACGGAGTAATTTCAAAAATCAAATTATAATTCGAATGATTAATCACTCATACTATAATAAGTATAAAGATCGCATTTGCAACATCGCAAGTATGTCATCCCATCATTCATCACTCGAATTGGCAGTATTGGCAGTGTAGTCATCACCACATTAGTTGAGACAGGGTAAAACACGAGAATTATTCATCGGGAATAGGGTTGTTTGTCTTTTTCACCCTCTATTAGTTTCTTAAGAACGATAAAGAAAAATATATGGATCTCTTGTGTTCGTGAGTCATTGCGAATAAGTAGATTATATTTTTTCATCATTCATTAAAAAAATCGAATTATTTTTCGATAATCCGATGATGATTATTCTTATAATCGAATTATGAATGAATTTTAATTTGAATTATCCCATTAGTAGATATAACCATATTATAAAGTTATTGACAACCAAATCGCCATTAGGTAAAGTATAATAATCAGAAAATGTACTCCCAATCATTTCCCTAAGTTTCCAATATTTTGGTATATAATATGTTCAAATAGGTTAAGATAGGGAATTTCGGAATTATCATAAATGATGAAGAGGTAATAAAAATAAGTTTGAAGACATTATTTTGGTGATAGTTTTGGTGAAGCAAGCACATACACACAATGTCCAAAATTATTGCATATCAATGTATGGTAAAATCAAAAGACTTTCCAGGAAATATAAATTTATAAAGTTAATCATGAGTTAGTTTGGCCTACATGAAAAAGCTATTTCTGTATTATACACTTTTATTGTAACTAAATTTAATAAATAATGGAAAATTAAGACCTTAATCGACGTGATACATGATACAGTTTGTCTTGATATAATTGTCCTAAGCCGTGCAAGCTCTATACAGGGTGTTATTATTTAAATTTAACTCTTTACTTGTTATTTATCCATGTTCGTTCTTGATTCGGCCCCATAAATAAAAACCCAGGTATATAGAATACGATGACCAAGCTGGCCATAGAAATATGCCGCTCAAGCGTCTCTGTCTACTAAAGTAAGTGGTATCCAAGAAGCCCCACACATTCATAGCAAAATAAGCGGCACAACTGCACCATCATGCTGATGAAATTGCAACAAATGCAATTTCATCATGATGGATCCCCTAACAGAATTGGCAATTCATCTCTTACAAATTATGGATAGGTCGTTTCATTTCGATAATTAATAAAAGTCAAATGCTAGAATTCCTGCCTAAACATTTACTGACTAACGGTCTTGGTGCTGAACTACTTGTATCAAGGGTAGATTTGGACCATAGTTTGTTAAGATTCGCATATTCAGTGCTACATGAAAAGTGACCTATTCGACAAAAACTGTATAATATAATAAATAACACAAATAACAGGTAAAACACGAAAACAAGTGAAATCAAGGACGAACTTGGATTAATAACTAAATTACGTTACATGAAATAAACCCCTAGTTTTCGGCTATACGAAATTCGGCCGTTCTCTGTTAAAAGCAATATGGCGGCACAAAATCCCTAGAAATTTTAATAAAATTATTGATTGTCCTTCTTGTCGACTTTCGGACATTTTAATCTGACCTAACCTAACCTACCTATAATTAATGAAGAAATTCGTAAAAATTATATGGATGGATGATAATGTTACGTAAACACGTTCAAAAATTTATGACGTATTTTTTTTAAGAAAACGCCAAAAATTCGGATGCATGCAATCTAAATTTAAACATTTTGATATTTTTACATAACCAATTAACTTTTTTTTGTTTCCTAGCCTATTACTAAGCGGCAGCCTAACATGATTTGTTCTCTTAATATCCCCGATTAGAGAGAAAATAGAAAGTTGCGGTTTGGCGTTGATATTTTGGAAATTTTGTGCTCTATTTAACTGTGCAAAGAGAAATATAGCCTCCTATTTAATTTTTTACGCAAAAGCGCAATAACTGTTATGATGTCAAACAGCGCCCTCTAGCTACCACGAAAAAATCTACGGAAAAAAAATTTATACTGGCGATCATTAAGGAAGAAAAGCTCTTTTAAACGAGTCCTAGTTTGTTTAAATCGGCTAACCTAAATCAGAGTTATCCTTATTTTAATAAAAGCAAGTTTAACCTTCCCCCACCACTTTATTTTACGAGATAGAGCAAAATACTCTATATAAAAAAATACAAATTTCTCGATGATTACAATAATAATATTTAAAATACCTGTTCACCTGCATATTTTTGAAAAAAACCCTGTTTTCTGATTGGCTATCAGAAAAGCGCCCCCTAGCGGACATTTTTCGAACTTGAAAATGATTTCCTTCGATTTCTCTTGGTCGATTTACTTATTAGAATTTTTTTTCCAAAGTTATACTATAAGTAGTTTCTGAGATACAGCCGATGCGACGTCCATTCTCATTTAGTTGGCCACCCGGTACTTAATGGGTTCCTTCTAGCAATTATTGACTAGCAACTGACGATCTTGTGCTGCAGTAGTGAGCTTTTTGCGACCTCTTCTTAGTCGGTCCTTAACATCATTGGTTTCGCGAAACTTTTTATTAATTCTTAAAACATCACTTTGATTGATACCTATAATTTCTGCCACTTTTGGTGATAGACTTTGTTGTAGCAAAGTTACTACGCAGGAGAGCTATACTACTAATCCGCACAGCAGGAAATTTATAAATTCTAATGAAATATAAGTTAACATTTCTTATCTTTACTTTTTGTTAAAGTTTGTGCAAAACATGTGAACAATACCTACATACTGAATATTTACTTCTAAATATACAAAGATGCTCTATTTATGGATATGCAATAATTTTGTGAATATGTGTATGTACTATATAGGACGTTAGCCAATATAGTTACTCGATAATCAGTCATATTCTTTACCTGTGGCACTTCAGTATATTCTAGTACTCTTTCAACAGAAGTCATATCATTCTCCAGGTCTGACCACTGCAACAATGCCCATTGAACTAAACTTGCTAATGTTGCAGCTTTTGTAATGGCCAAACCCACATCTCCTGAAGCTTGTTCTAAAATTTATGTATTATAAAGTTGGACTAAAGCAATATTTTATTACACGATATTATTAGATACTTAAATTATAAGGTAGGTCATAATAGCTTATGACCATTTTTGTCAATTTGTTCTATATTAGTTATAGAATTAAAATATTCCATATTATTAGCTACCTGAAGCAAAGAACAGGAATCTTCCAACAATGAGACTTAAAAATGTAGCCGATAATATGTCCATAAAGAACGCAAACGCCCTTCTGATGCAAAATGTCATATAATGAGCTGAAGTATAAAGGTCTTGATGTCGGTCGAATTCCTGAACTAATATTTTCTCTGCTCTGCTGGCTCTTATAGTTGTTACTCCTTCCATTGATGCATTTAAATGACCAATTAGCGGACTACGGGCTGAAATATAAGTCATTTTATGTAAACATATACATAATTATAGTTTATAGGTTTGGTGCATTTCAGTTGATTTCAAAAAATTCCGACCGCAGCGCTTCAACGGCGGAAACCAGAAATTATCAGTATGTATTTCACGCGCCGTCCTGGTTACGCAGTTAATCATATATTATATCACGAGACCTATAAATTTAATCGATTAAACTATTCAAATATATTTTGCACGTGATTTTGCTTGGAAAATAGTTGAATGCACAATAATTTAGTAAAAACCCGAGACCGAGCGTTTTTATTCTAAAATTATTGTGCATGAAACTATTTTCTAAAAAGCAAAATCATGCAAAAAATTATTTGGGTAGTTTAATCAATTAAATTTATATGTTGAGTGATATACGGCTAGATTATTTCCTGAATGACTTAGGAATGAAGCAAATAACTATAAGAATTTTATTAACTATAAAATTTAACATTTTCGGACAACATTTTTTTTACAAACAACAAATTTCATTCTCACCACAGCGGTAAATAAAATTTAAAGACGTTTCAAAATGTCTCGTAAGTAATGTTTGTGCTTCTGCTACCTTGGTTACGCATCCCAACAATGCATCGAGCAGAGCATCGAGGACCGTTTCGCATGTCAACATATCAAATTCTGACGTATTTTTCTCCACTTATTTGCATAGATAAAGGAAATAAATTTAGATTGGAATGCCCGTCAAAATTTTGGATCGCGAAATTGTTTTGGATCGCGACCGTTGTACGCGATCTGGCGCTGCGCTGCTATAGCGGTTGCTAAGAACAACCGCAAACAAAAACAGAAATAATTTTCTCTTGTCCATATCTCTTGTCAATATCAGAATCTTCAAAAAAAAAATAAAATCTTAACCGCTCAAATCAAATTCTAAACCGCTCTCATTGAAAAAATTCCGAAAAATCTTTAAAAGTCCATTTTCAAAGTAATTATTGCTGTCTTGTGAGTTTAAGTTTTATTTACTTAAACCCGTGATAATTGTGAAAAAGTGGCATTAAAAACTTTTAAAAAGCTATACTGTAAACTGTGAATTGCAAAAACCATCGTGGATCGTGGCATAACGTCGGTTTTCAATGTTTCATAGGTATTTTATACATGTCTTTATATAAAAGAAAGCTTCTTGTATGCAACACACTTTACTTTATTTATTAAATTAAAAGAAAATAATAATAATAAATTTAAATAAATAATATTTGGCGGTATAATTCCGGAAAAAGCCGAACCGCTCCGAAATTTTCAAAAGCTTTGGGTCGCGACCGTTGCAAGAATAGCGCCAAATAGTGTTTACATTGTCCTTATGAACACTTTCCAATCTAAACTTGTTTCATTTATCTATGCTTATTTGTTCAAAATAATATCGAATAAGGAGGTTTCACCGATTAAAATCGTTATTAAGTCATACATATAAGTTGTAAATCAATGTTTTTAAATGAACTGTAGCTAAAATCTCTCAGAATTAGTGATAAACGACAAAAAGAAAACCCAAAAGGAAGCCGAAAAAATAATCGCGGTTAAACTGGTCTTGGGATTTAATCACTTATCTAAAGAAAATTTATTCGAAAAATTAGATTATCTGATTGGTCCATTTCACGATGAAGGAAATAATCGCAGTTAATCGAATTAAAAATTAAAGTAATATTGAAATCGTGGCTTTGTCATAATATTTAAGCATTCTGGATATTCAACTTTCTCGAAACAACATTTTATAGCTTCTTAGTTTCTCACATCGATTTGATCAGAAGCAAAAATGGATTCAAGCAGTTCGACAAAACAAGTGAGTAAACAAAGTGCTCGTTACACAATCAAATAAATAATTAAATAGACATAAATATATATACTATGAGAGGATAAAATTTTGCAGTATTAATGGTATATTTTTTTGAATCGACTAGTGACTAAATGTTTTATCAACATCTTCTTCTAAAATTATAATTGTACTTTAAAAAAAATCGTTATAGTCGAAATAGCCTCCAATAAGACCCCACTGGCAAAACCGGCGCGTAAAACTAAGCTCGCTACTGTATTTGAACTCATCTAAAAAGTTTTTTTTAGCTGGAATAATAAATTATAATACAAGTTAGACCTTCTGAAGATGTCAAAATATGTACTTTTTTATTTTTATTTTTAGAATTTTCACAAATTATACTTCCTAACCCTTTTAGAATAATTATATAATTTTTTTTCATATATTTGAACCCGTGTAATTGTATATGGCTATTTAAACCCGTGAAATTGTATATACTAGTTGTTTTCGATATTCTCCGATTGTGGCAGCACTGCCGAAGAATGCACCAAGCCTATATGAAGTGACATAGAAATAAGAAAACCTGGTAATAATTATTTGATTTTAACACTATTTTTACAGATGAATTTATTTCAGCTAGAATAAAAAAAAATTAAAACGCAAAATTCGCGGTGGCAAAGTAGTTGCAAAAGTGAAAGCAATATATTGTTATGGAGCCGATCGGCCGATTATTTGATTGCATGTGAGCGCGGGTCCATAAGAATACATCTGCAACTAAATAGTCGGCTGACCGAAAATTGCATGTCAGCGCATAGCCTAAGTTAAAACCTTTTCTTGAAAACCTTTTCTTGAAAAGGTTTTCAGTCTCGCAGATTTTTGTGTGTTCAATTTTTTTACTACATAGAATATCTGGTTTTTATAGCTGTAAAGAGTGTGATGACACGTATTCTTATAAAACAAGTGTTTCGGTGGAGTTTGATTTGTTATTTCTAACGCATAATAGACGGAGAGCTGGCTACATAAAAAACCTTACATGAAGTGAAGTATCCTTTTGTGTAGCCATTATGAAATAGTCATGTCTGCCAGCGCGATCCCGGGGCTTAAAGCGGGGCCGGCCAATTGAAAGGGTGAAATTTTGACATTAAAAATATTTTAAGGTACACGGTGTTATAATTGCGAAAATAGCCTTTATTTATTATTAAGAAACGTGTAAAACTGTTGAGAGGCATTTTTCTCGTGGCTAAAATGCCGGCAGACAACCCGAAAGAGGCATGGAATTTGACAAAAAAAACCCATCGCATACATGCATGTCAATTGGTGGAATGTCATGTTTACTTATTTCAAAAGCCGTATGCAAAAGGACAAACAAAAAAATCGTGGCTCAATCAGCGGTAGACAGTTATAAAAAACGCAATATTACTCTAGAGGGTGAATCTTAAATAAGTGCAAATATTTTCAGAGCTGGTAGATCTCTATAAAAGATACATATTTTCTTTTTACCGTTTTCCAAATAAGTCCAAAATAACTGAGTTATTCAAGTTTGAAAATTTAAAAAGAAATTGATTTATTTTTAAATAATTTTGTGAGACACCTGTTTTTTTCTGTACTTGCATCCATTATTTTAGTGTCGTAGCCATAGAGTAAAGCCGTAAGCATGCTAGGTTAAGAAATAATTATACCGTTGTAATTTGCAGTGAACCGGCAGTTCTAAAAAGTTTTCTAAAATATATACAGGAAAAATTAAAAATAATGCACGATTTTCTACACATAGACGTGTTCCTGGGGTCGAAATATATCACCCTTAAAAGTATTTTCACTTATTTAAGACTCACCCTGTATAAGCGTATTCAGGAAACGCTGGCCGCGTTATCAATTGAAACATAATACCTGTAAGTCTATAAAAAATTTACGGTGCAGATATCGACTCAGGGGAAGACTCGTTTGTGAGAGCGGGGATCTGCACTACGATGAGTCAGATACAAATAGTGAGACAGAATAGTAAATGTATGATATCTGTTTTGAAATAATAAAAAAATATATTTATAATATTATAATCGTATACATGATTTATCTATACTTAAATGGATGAGGTCCTGACAGCGCTAGAGTAATATAGCGCTTTTGTGTGTGTGTGTGTGTGTGTGATAACTATCTGCAGCTGATTTAGCCACGATATTTTTGTCTGCCCTTTTGCATAGGGCTTTTAAAATAAAGAAATATGGTATTCCACCAATAGGCATGCAAGTATGCCATATTTTTTTTTCATTCTCCAAATTTAATTTTTTAATAATTTTCGAGATCATTTTTAAAATTTCATACCTCTTTCGCGTTGTCTGTCGGCATTTTAGCGACCAGAAAAATGTCTGTCGACAATTTTCCGCGTTTCTTAATAATAAATAAAAGCTATTTTCGCAATTATAACTCGTGTACCTTATAATATTTTTAGTGTCTAAATTTCACCCTTTTGATTGGCCGCCCCCGCTACACAAAAGGATACCTAGCACAAAAAAATTAGCCATGTAACGGTGATAAGGTTTTTTATGTAGCCAGCTCTTAGACTATAAACCATAAACCTTATGCACCAAAAACGTTATGTAAATTATAAATAATGATATAAATAATGTTATAAAAATATGATAAATATATTTCATTTTTTTTACTTACTTGCTGATTCCAATCTTTTTAAGCTTCTTGCCGTTGGCATATAAATTATTCTTAACAAAAACATTATAGCAATCAAAACACCAGCTGGTACCAAAAATGTCCAGCTTACTGAAGTTACTAGTGCAACAATTCCGATGCAGGCAAAAAACACCTTAAATGAAATAGGAGACAATACACAGCAACTTTTCCATTCGAGCGTAATATGTTTTTCAACACTTGTTACATTAATATATTATTAAAAAAATAGCTAAACGTATTAAAAATTACTTTCAACTTACCATCATGAACATGTTTACTGTGTGTGGTAAGTGTTCATCAACAATTCCTAAATCTTGCGAAAATCTATTTAAGATATTACCAATGAAGTAGTTATCATAAAATGGCATGGCCGCTGTAGTTAATCTTTCAATCATAGTATTGTGTAGATTGACGGAAGCTTTTCTAAAGAAATTTATGAAAATAAACTGGTTTATTAAATCCAGTATTAAAGATGACACGATCATTCCAGTATACAATTTTAATGTCCAACTTGCCGTATTTTCCATTGTAACAAACACAGTGGCATTACTAACAGGTTGCTGTCCTAATTTTAGTACAGAAATATTTTGCTGTATGTTTATCCTGAAAAAGATATTATATTTAGTTAACATCTAAAAGATCGGCTTCTGAGATTAGTTTTTTTATTTGTTGTTTTAATTGATATTTTTAAAAAATAAACTTTGAGTAAATAAAATCATTGAACAGAAATACTAAGGAGGCAAAATTCGCGATCAGCAAAATGGGCGTGACCGAGACGGTATTTTAATAATATGGCTGACTTGAATTCCGGTTTATATCAGTGGCCTTTTATTTTTATTTTTTTAACCTTTACAGCGGGTTTTGATTGCTTTGATTTCACCCTTTTGTCTTTTTTTCCTCTCTTTTTGATTAATGTGCATTTGATTGCTTTGAATAATTTTATATTAAAACTGATTTTTTTACAATTATCAAATATCAACGACAGCTCAATTCATGTTATGATTTCGGCGGCATTTGATGTTTATAATACGATATGCCGTTGTTGGACGGCATTTACCTACCAGGTTACGCATGCCGTCGTTTACGTCAAATTAATTCAATTTTCCACCGGCATTTACAGATATACAGGGTGAGTTTTCTACGATGTTCTCTATGGGTACCTATCTCAAAAACTACTGGAGATAGAAAGTCGGTTAAATGGGGAAAGAATTGCAGTTTTGTAGGGTCATCAATATGCGCCTTTCAGATTTTTGAAAAAGTTCATGGCTTACTAGATATTTCGAAAAAAAAACAAATTTCGCATCTTTTAAAAATTGTCCCTAATTCCATTATAATCTATTTTAGACAAAAAGTTTTCACATAAAAGTTGTAGATACTCATATCCTTAATGAGATTGTGTCCTCCGTTTTTTCTAAAGTCTGTCATTTTTGACATATGACCCAAACAAATGTTATTTTAATGGAAATCATATAGTTGGATATGATTTCATAAAAAGCGCAATTTTTAAAGCTTTTCCGCGATATAAGCTATAATATGTTTTTTTACATAATATGTACATTGGCGATACATTTTTGAGGATACGTTGACCGGTGAACGTTACTTACTTACTTACTTACCGGTGAACTTTACGTTTTTTAGAGAACGGTTTTCAAGACATGTTAGAAAAGTTAAATTTAGATATTCGCGCATCAATAGAGTGGTTCCAACACAACCGTCATTATGACACCCCCTCCTCCAATATGAAAGGAATGTTAAGGAAGGGATAGGAAGAGGTGGGCCAATTGCATGGGCCTCCTCTATCACCTAACCTATCCATTTTAGATTTTTTTTATGGGGTGTGGTTAACAACAAGGTTTACAAAAGAACTTATGAATTAAGAGAGGCATACGAAGAGGCGGTACGGGAGAAGTTTAATTAAGTGGACCAGTCGTTCTGTGAGAAATAGCTAGTAATTACTTTTATCTATACAGGGTGATTTTTAACCTATACGCATAAAGTTAGATACGCATAAATATTAGCCAAAAAAAGATAAGAATTGGCTATAATATATATATATATATATATATATATATATATATATATATATATATATATAACTCACTAATTTTTTGAAAAAAAAATATTATAGCTTATATCGCTGAAAAGCTTAAAAACTGGCGCTTTTTATAACGTCATGACCAACTATGGTTTCCATTTAAAAAAACATATGTTTATTGTTTAAGTCATATGTCAAAAATGACAGGCCTTAGAAAAAATTGGACAATACAAATTCATTAGGGATGTGATTATCTACAACTTTTATGTTATTATACAGTGTGAGTCTTAAATAAGTGCAAATATTTTCAGTGTTGGTAGACCTCGATGAAAGAAACATTATTTTATCCTTACTGTTTTCAAATAAGTCCAAAATAACCGAGTTATTTTACTTTCGAAAATTGAAAAAAAAATGATTTTTTGTTTGAATTTTGATCCTGGATCTATTCTGGGTTTTCTTTTTTGTAAATTTAATCTACTACCTAATGTTGTCATATTAGGTATCCACAGATTGTTTTCTTAATAAATCCAAACTTTCAAAAAAAAATCGCGAAAAATTTCAAACGTATTTATGAGGTCAAAATATACTACCTCTACCAATATATCTTATAATCTAGCTAGCTTGTGTGTCACGATCTTGATTTTTCACTCCCAGCCCCTTATTTACTTAGCGTAAAATATACAGGGTGGTACAAATTCCGGGTACGAGTATTGGTATCTCGGTAACCGTAATAGATACGAACAGAGATAAATTGGAGCAAAGTTGCGTCTTTGGGATGTTCACCAAGATGCCATCAAAAATGTTTTCAAATTTTCAAGGTTAGCTGAGTTTTTTGCAAAAAAAACGGATTTTTTTGAATATCAAGTTTATTTTTTCCTATCGTTACTTTATAGATAATCAAAAAACTAATTGCACATTTTCATAGCCACTTTATTAGGGCTATCTGATAGTATTTCTAGATTTACAAATTAGATGATAATTTGTGAGATACAGAGGCCCACTTAATTATTTTAAATACGGACCTGCATTTTTAATTTCAGGCTTTTAAAGAGCTCGGTCTCCTGAGTACAGTGTGTCCCATTTTGGTTGAAATCATAGGGTATCTCCGTTATTAGTGAAGATAGAAGGGTGCGGTTTTCACAAACCTGTCCCACTTTTTCGTCAAACGGAAGATGCTGCAAACAAAATTTTCATAGCCCTCTTAGTTTCTGAGCTACAGGGTCTTTTCGAAAATTTTGCAATTTGGGACACCCCCTGTATCTCTGTTATTGTTAAAGGTATCGAGAAGACGAAAACTGCTTATTGTAGAACTTTTTACGTAGAATACAGTGGCGTAGTCTGTTTTTCTACCAAAAAAATATTTTTGAAAATATGAACTAAAGTCGAGGGGTAAACCGCAGAGGGAAAAGTGTACACCGTAATTCCTTTTACTCAAATAATTCCTCAGAATTCCTCGTAATTCCTCAGGAATTCCTTGGAATTCCTGGTCTTCAAGGTCAAGGCAAATCATTCAAGGTCTTCCTTGGAATTCCTTGATACGAACTCGGTAACTCTTTCAGTCTGAACCAGCGTTGCCACCTCGGTTTCGCAGTTCCGCTATGAATTTTCTGGTGATTTTTATAAATGTCTAATGTCTCTATAAGTACTAGATCTAACAATAAAAAGTACTCTTACGAGATTTACGTTTTTCTTAGTTAAATTTTAGGATTAATAGGGGATCATGAGGTGAAAATACTGGAAATATGTCGGAACTTACTTATTAAAATTATTTTTTCTCGAGATTTTTTGAAAATGATAGGTACCTAGTATACTCGTATCTATAGGAAAGGAAATTAATAAAACTTCAGTTGCACGTCATAATACGATCACCAGCAAATTTCATAAGATTACGCATGGTATCATTGATGAAGTGCACCCAAAGTTGTATTAATTTCCCTATAGTATATAGGTACCTATTATTCCGAGGAAATGAAAAAATCAACTTTACACTTTCTGAGTACTGAATAAAAAAATCTTATGAGGATTTCTTTAAAATGGCGAAATCAGGGAACGTTATAAGTAATCTCTCGGGGGTGGTTCGGCCGTACTATTGGAATATATTTTAGATATATAATCGAGGGTACAATATTAAATTAAAAGAATATCTAACCTGTAGATATTTGATATTGGGAAATTTTGGAAGCGATTCGAAAACGAAAAACGGATAGTAAAAAATCGCCTGCAAACGTTTTTCTTTAAATTTAGTACTACCTATTATAGTATTCATGGTTTACTAATGTTCGTTAATTTTTTATAAAGTTGCTTGTAATTCCCCTTTATTCCTGTGGAATTCCTCTAAATTTCTAAGAAATTCCTTGGAATTCATTGGAATTCTTACGGAAATAATTGGAATTCCTAGTAATTCCTATGGAATTCCTTGGAATTCCTCGTGATTCCTTGGAATTCCTATAGAATTCCTTCATAGTGTACACCATAATTCCTCTGCGGTTTACCCCTCGACTAAAGTTATGTTTTTTCCTCGGTTTTTTCAAATGGAACACCCTGTATATTTATAAATCATATGATCTGTCTTGCTATGAGCTTCTCAAAAATATATATCACTCTATATGTATTTTCACTATTTACTGCAATATTTAAAATATATCTTTTTCTGATTAGTAGGCCGTGATAAATAACAAAAAATCAAAATGGTATTTATTAAAATAGTCATACACATATTAAAATTTATTTGGGATTGATATATTTTACTTTTGAAATAACTGTTACCACTGAAACTGTGAATATATTTTTCTTTTTTTTATAACGGGACGGGTTTGCAAATTCTTGAATTATTAAAGCATTTTTCAAGTGTTCGACATTGTTGTAGTGCCTGCGATATATTTCGTATTTCAAAAATTCCCAAAATCAGAAATCGAGAACGGCGAAATCCGGGAATCGAGGAGGCTATCAATATGCGTTCATTGGTACCAATTCATTGATTTGAAAAATAATAATTTAACAGTATTCTAATATTTCCATAGTTATGAGGGGGAATGTTCCCCATCTTGCTGAAAGTATATTTCACGTAAATTAGCTAAAGGAATATCTAAAATTTCCGATACGATAGATTATTCTTATGTATACACGTATTCCAAGATTTAAAAATAGCGGTAGAGAGTTAAGTTTCCCTAATATATAAAGAATTTATTAGCGGCTCCCAAAATAAAATAAGAGACAGATAGCAGTATACTTATAATAATTCTTTAGTTTCTTTTATTATCAATCATGGCCTACTAATAAATATGATGTTTTAATAAAAACTTTTAAATATTGCAGTAAATAGTGAAAATAAATATAGAGTGATATATATTTTTGAGAAGCTTATGGCAAGACAGATCATATGATTTATAAATATACAGGGTGCTCCATTTAAAAAAACATAACTTTAGTTCATATTTTCAAAAATATTGTTTTGGTAGAAAAACAGACTACGCCAATGTATTCTACGTAAAAAGTTCTACAATAAACAATTTTCACCTTCTCGATAGCTTTAACAATAACAGAGATACAGGAGGTGTCCTAAATTGCA